ACACCGAGACACGTAAACCTGAAAGCTAAATAAAGAATCGAAACCGAAGTAGCAGAAAACCCACAAAGGTCCAGGTCTACAGACCTTCTGACCCTTGAGATTTTTTCCTCTTTTCCTATTTGCTCCTCAACTCTGAGGCTAAAGGTCTGGGAATTTAAAATAGCTCTGACTCCGGCTCTAAATTCTGAGCTCAGCAACACCCAGAACAAGTGTGTCAGCCCTTCTTCGGGTTCCCTGGCCTGTGCTCTGTGGTCACCCTTCCCTGCCTCCATGTCTCTGGTCTCCCAACACTCACTCATTCTCCCAGGTGTCCCAACCGACCCTCTCTGTGACTACTCGTGGGAAGTGGGAAGTAACTCCGTTTTGTCAAATACTTTCATTGGCCACATTTGTGCTATCTTTGGAGGCAGAACACAAGAGAGTGAGCACAGAAGCACTTTTAGGGGAAGTGCTTTGTTAAAGTAAAGAGACTATGGGCCTGAATAAGTGTCAAAAGATGCAAATGTAAGCATTCCCTTCCCCTGCCAGTGACTCTCCTTAGCTTCCTGCAGGAAGCCTGTGTGGACTCCCGCAGTGAGGTTCAATGCCTCTCTAAAGGGTCCAATTCACCTGGACCCACCCTGACATAGAACTCAATGGGAAGGTGCCTTATTGGGCACTGAGGCTCTCAAAGAAGAGATAAGGAAACACAGTCAGGCTTAGCATTCTGTCCCGAGAGCACCCCTCCACATCACAGTAAGCTCTTGGTAAGTACTTAGTCTCTAAGAATGAACAAGGACCAAGAAGAGACCTAGAGAGCTCTTCTGGGTAGAACAGGGTCCACTTCCAGTATACCAGGCACTGTGGAGTACTTACTAAAGAAACACCCATTAAGCAATTTTACTTCTCGGAGCGTATTGTTGCCTATGCTCAAGCTTCGATGCCAAGTTAACAAAGCAAAGCTGCCCGGAACACACACAACAAGCGCCAACCTGCTGAATTAATAGTTCTAACTTGGCAGTGCCCGGCCCGCTCTTAAATCTGTACAGATGAACCATCCTGAGTCATTTCTAATCATTTAGAACAAGCTCTCTGCTCACACACAAGAAACACAACTGGATTTCAACTCACTCCATTTCACGGAGGCAGCAATCAGGCGGTGTGGCATGGAATCTGAGTTTCACGCTGGTTGGATCCTAAAGTGAGTTACGAGTGACTCACGCTTACCATTTGCTTACCATTTGCTTTCCTCGGGGGTGGCGTTACTCATACAGTCAGGTCCATGCTGCTAGAGGTTGGTTTTGTTAGTGTTTACCGGCAGCAATGGGTTTGGGGGAAAGAAATTATCCAAAGACACTGAATTCAGTCCTTAAATCAGCAGCACTCATCATAACAAAGTGATGAGATTTTTCCCTCCTCATGACAAAGAGACAATCATGGACCTTCCAGGGCAAGCCTCCTGCCACCTCCTTCTTCACATCACAGCCAAACTCTGGTTTCATACCCAGATCTCAGAAGTTTTCTCTCTCTCAGATGACTGATTCTCATAAATGCAAACTTTTATTTTAAATTAGTCACTGTCATCTAGAATGTCCACAGTCACTAATATCAGCTTGTTTGAAAGAGCTTTCTAAAGAATAGGCTGTCTTAAGAAATAGGCTTAATCCCCTTTGCCAGCCACATAAAGGGAGACTATGCCTTTTTTCTAGCTGATTTGGGATTGTTGAGTTCTAGATAATGGATGAAAGGCCACAGTGGTCCTTTGTTCATTTTCCTAAATACTCTTCCCAAAGAGATGTCTATGAATATTGAGATAAATTGTAAGTCAGTGAAATGAATATTTTCTTTTGTTCCTCCTTCTTCTCTCAGCCTCTTTCCCTCTCAGCTCTCTTTTCCTCTACATATTTTCTTAATTAGAAATTATTTTATTATGAATGCATGGGTGTTTTGCTTCCATGTCTCTACATTACTTGCATACCTGATACCCACGGAGGCCAGAAGAGAGCATTGGATCTCCTGAGACTGGAGCTAGACCGGGTTATGAACCACTATGTGGGTGCTGGGACTCAAGCCTGCATCCTCTGGAAAAGCACCCAGGGCTCTTAAGTATTAAGCTGTCTCTCCACTGATACATGGATGATGTGTTGGGAAGAAGAAAAGCCCAACTCAAAAGGTCATGGAGTTACGAGATAATTTTCAACATAGAGGTCTCTAATTATGGAGAATAAACATAAAGTTAAAGGGTGGAGCCTAGCGAACTGATCAAATAAGATTTAATGGGGGAAGAGAGTCTTAATATCTATATAAATATCGATTGACTGCATGATATGGGATTCTCCATTGTATGCTGTGAATACCATTGATTAATAGAGAAACTGGCTTGAGCCCGTAATAGGATAGAACAGAGGTAGGCAGGGAAAACTAAACTGAAAGCTGGGAGAAAGGAGGCGGAGTCAGAGAGAAGTCACGTAGCCCTGCTGGACATAGATGCCAGAATTTTAGCTGGTAATCCACAGCCTCGTGGCAATACACACATTAATACAAAAGGGTTAAATTTGAATGTAGGAATTAGCCATTAAAAAGCTAGAGCTAATGGGCCAAGCAGTAATTTGATTAATACAGTTTCTGTGTGGTTATTTCGGGGCTGAGCAGCCAGGAATCAACAAGCGGCCTCCTCCTACACCTGCACTGGCTGTTCTTTAACAGGAGATCTCCAGGATCTGGAGAAGTGGCTCGGTGGTTAAGACAACACGTTGCTCTTGGTTCCCAGCACCCAACGGTGACTTAAACAATCATCTGTCACTTCACTTCCAGGGGATCTGAGGACATCTTCTGGCCTCCACAGATACTGTGCACATACGGTACACAGGCAAACATGTAGGCAAAATACCCATACACGTGGGAGAAAAATGACACTTTCTAAAACGGAAAGGCTGACAGATAATTTTCTGACAATAGTCAGTATGTCTCAGGACATAGCAGTGTCGAAGTGAAAATAACAATAGTGTCATCCATTGGACACCAGGGTCTCTTCAGTAACAAACAAACACTTTAATGTCACTGCGAAGGGCTGGGGTGGGGTTTAGTGTAGAGCACTTGAACCTAGTGTGTACAAGGCTCCGGGGCTCAAACCCTAACATCACACAAACAAAACAGAACCAAAATAAACGAAGCAAAACACAGTCGATGGAGTGACTTAGTCCCGTGTTGGGTGTGTTTCCCTTTGATTAGCAATGTATATTACGGAGAGCTATTTTTTCATTAACTAGCTGACAACTCTGGGTTTGAAAAGGCGCAATCCTTTCCACTAAATACCTAAGAAGAGTGAATAAGATACATTAGGACCTACAAAGTACTCTATTTGCTATGGCCTGTGGGATCTAGCCGTCATAAACAGATAAAGCCTTTATCTGCTCAGCACAGTCACTCCTCGCTTTGGCGTGCTGCTTGGGACACCCTTCCCCCATTCTTTAGTGCTCATCTTCTCATGGATGCTCATTTTGGCCTCAGAAATGCCAGTTACTGGTCCTCAGTTGGAGGCAACAGCTTCAGACACGAAAGAGTGTGTGAGCTGCTTATCTTTTCACTGTGTGTTTCCTTTAAGTGGTGTACAGAGAAAAAAAGAAAACAGAGAGCTTCAAGTGTTTTCCTTTGTAAAGCCGTTCCTTTCCTTGTACTGTTTTTTTTTTTTTTCTTTTGACTGTGAACTTGAGTCAACTGGCTTTTTTTAAAGTTTAAGCGTACAAGCCAGAGAGCGGTTTAGTAAACTTGGCCATTGGGCAGCAGCACTGTTACAAAGACCAACGACAAGGTAATTTAGTCTGGTGAAAAGTTCTAGAACCTTCCTCAGGTTTTACTAGGGAGGACAGAACCCCATTTTCCGTGAGGAATAACTGGTTTGACAAAGATGCTTCTAATTAGCAAAGGAGGTAAGCACTCATTGGTGTGGGGCTAAAGACAACAAAATCAGGTACTGGAGAGATGGCTCAGCAGTGAAGTAAGTACTGGCTGCTCTTCCAGAGGACCCAGGTTCAACTCCCAGCACCCACATAGCAGCTCACAACTGTCTGTGACTCCAGTTCCAGGGCCTCTGTCACCCTCACACAGACATACATGCAGGCAAAAAGCCAGTGAACATAAAATAAAAATACATTATATTTTTGAAAAAAAAAAGAAAAGAAAACAGAATTAGGCTCCAACGCATCATCTGGGGACATCTTTGGGTACAGGGGTCCCTGGAGCTAGGCACATTTATCTACTTTCAAATCTGTGTACTGACATGCTCTGAACGGCAGGTGCTAAACGAGCTTCTTATTAAAAATGGCGGGCTAGGGAGTTGGCTCAGTGGCTGGGTGCCTGCTCATCCAGAGAACCCATGCTCAATTCCCAGTACCCACATGGTGGCAACTGTCGGGAACTCCAGCTCTAGAGGATCCAGCCCCCTCTCATGGCCTTCTCCAGTGCTGTATGTATGTGGTACACAGAAATTTATGCAGGCAAAACACTCATGTACATAAAGTAAAAAGAAATAAATCTCAGTTTTTAAAATTAAAAATAAATGGTGAATACATGAGTGCTAATCATGATGGTATACAAAGGACTATAATGCCACCACTGGGGTGGCAGAGGCAGATGGGTATCTCTGAGTTACAGGCCAGTCAGGGTTATATAGTAAGACCTGTCTCCAAACATAGAAACAAATCAACAGTGAGCATGGTCATCAAGCCGGCATTTCTACTAATCAATTGGCCAGTGAGTTTTCAGACATTCCTTTGTAAACCAAGACTATGCCAGGTCTTATAAATTCCCTGTGTTCCCTGTGGGTACTGTAACATTTCAGGCCTCCGCTGTGGGGGCTGACCACACCAGGCAGGAGCTTGCAGGAATCTGCTTGTGGATCTCAAAGGTTGGGAGGGATTGTTTTGGGCCACCTGCTGTCAAAGCAAACAGAATGAGAGGCTCCTGTCAGTTCAGGGCGGAGCCTGTTTCAGAGCTCAGGGACAGTCTTCTCTAGACTGATCTCATGCCATAAACTGTTCAAGGCAGTCTGGCTCCAACAGGCCATAAACAACACAATGTCTACAATGAGCACACCAAGGTGGAAATGAAAGCTGTCTACCTGTGTCTTCTTAATCCTTTAAACCCCAAGAACACGGAACCACTGACTGGTATAAACAGCTCATAAAAGACTCCGAGAGGGTGGGGAAGTGAAGATACTCTGGTTAAATCAAGTTTTGGAGGTAAAAATGACTTTAAAATACTTTTGTGTGTAGCAAACTTTATATAGCGAGATGGTTTTCCATTGGGGTAATGGATCTGAGTGGCCCAGGGGAACACTGTGCTGACTTAGATGGTAGTCTTGCATCTCTGGCTAAGCTGGGATTTTAACAGTCATCAGGACATAGGTGAGTATCGCATAATTAGAGATCACAAGTGGTGGCAAGCTGCTATTTACATGCTAATATTAATATGCTAATCAGGAACATAGGCTACTCTAGCTTTTACAGTCTAGATTAATTATTTTTCTGGATATATTTATGGGAAATAAAGAGCCACTTGGCTTTTCAAAGATGATGGTATCCTTTGAAAGCAAGTTCAATCCCTTCTAAAAAAATAAATTATAAGAACTTGTCTCCTGGAGAAAAGGAAAGGAAATGACAGGTGGAAGTTTCTGCCTTCTGCCTTCTCTGACCTTTAAGGGTTCAAAAAGGCTTCACCAGCTTCATTAGACCCTGAAGGATATGCCAACTTGCATATCTGGCTGTGTTCCACCTAAGATCCATGGCAACAAATAAGAGGCCTCTTAACACTCAAGCTCCCAAAGCCTGGAGAATCACGTGACGACAGAACCTGAGAGTTAGAACAGGAGTTTCTGTCTTGGCACTTTCTGGAAGCTCGTGTTGACAGCCCTCTGTTGCAGTCACCGTCCTGTGTGAGGCAGAACGGTCAGCAGTCGTGGCCTCCTTCCTCTCAGCCTGAGTGTGCACTCTCTCCTCCCTGTATCTGCCAGGTTCCAATGACCCAAGTGTCTCCAGACATTGACAACTGTCTTCCTTAGTGCTTGGGTACCTCAGTGCTACAGGATCTGTACGAATTACCTGTTCTCATTGAGAGGTAAAGAAAAATAACCAGTGAGTGTCTACAGTGAGTTCAGCACATTTTCTCCAAAACAGAGAAGGTACTTTAAGCAAATCCTGCTTTCTACCTGAGGTAGGGAATTGAGTTTCCTAAGTCTTTTGCTGTCCTGTTAGCATCTCCTGGGATTTTATGAACAAAGGGAACTTGGGGCCTCACAGGTTCCATAGCATCTCCTATGTCCATGACTTTCAAATTCCCAGGGTGCCCACCAAGTGAAAACTATGAGAACCCAAGATGTCCAAATATGACATTCTAAAAGAGACATCATTATAGACATTGATGAGTCCTGAAGCCAGGATTAAGATGTGCTAAACAGACTGGGTGATTCTTCTCATCTACCCCTGCTAGTTCCTCTTGGTGGGAACCTAATCCTGTTCTCTTCTCCTCCCCTCCCCTCTCCACCCCATCCTTTTTCTCCTCTCTTTTTTCTATCTCTTTCTTTCTTCCACACCCTTTGACTCTTAGATAGGGTGTCATGAAGCCCAGGCTGCCCTTGGACTTCTTCTGTGTCAAGGATGACCTAAAACTTCTGATTTTCCTGCCTCCAAGTGCTGGGATTACAGGATCATGAAAAACTGCTGGGGACCACAAGGCTTTGTGCTAGGCAATCACCCTGCCACCTGAGCAGTATCCTCAGCCCGAATCAAACATTTTCTTCTGTGAGAAAAATCAGTGTGTTTCTCAGTCAGGCTTGAAAGGGTCTCGGAGCAGGTGTGGCTTCATTTACTCAACAGTGACAGTTTCGAGGAAAGCAATTGTGAACAGTGTTCTCTCGCCCAGCTCTGGGACATAGGAGGCATTGTGCTCAAAACCCTGAACCTATCCTGGACAGATCAGAAATGGACAGAATTGGAATCCATGAATCCCCGGGGCCGATCAGCCAATCTTTAAACCAGTGGCTGTGAATTATACTTACAGAATTTTACTGATGAAAATTTAATGCCTTCCTTTCCTTTCCGGTTTACAAAGATTAAGTGATACCATTTAGCCAGAGTAAAGAATGCCCTGAAAAGAACTAATAGGCCAGTTTGTTTCTACTGCCTAGGAAGGGGCGGTGGGGGTGGGAGGGGTGAGCCTTGTTTTTCTTTCTTTTTTTTCCCCCCTCTACAAAAATAACAGAAGGAAAGCTGCTGCTGTAATCAGCGGCAATTGAAGGCATTTCCTGCGTTTTTATATCAAGCTGGTTGTTTTTTTTCCATTACATACCCAGTGAACTCCAGTTAGGTCAAGACGGGAGAAAAACAGGACCAATTGTGCCTCTAAACCCACAAATCTGCCTACTTAGCTCTGCTAATTTTATCGTGTTGACTGCAGGGTTTCAAGTCAGAGACAGGAAAACCTGGGAGGGCTGCTTGCTCTCCTAGGAGAGCGGATCCCGGCACTTCCTCCTCTTCTACCCCATCTCCTTGCCAGCATCCCAAGAAGGAGCATTTGCTCCATCTGCTGCTGCAGGTCACCCAAATGAGAGGATCTTGGATCAAGTTCCATTATAGGAGAGGTTCCCAGGATCTTGGGGCAGCGGTGTCCAAACTGATCCCTAAATCTCAGAGGCCAAAGTTTTCCTGTCTCGCTATCTCCCTGAGAAGAGCAAGGTGTTCCTCCCTGGGCTGTTCCTTCCACCACGTCTAGCTTTAGCTAACACCATCTCTCTTGTTCTTTCTTCAGAGCCTCAGGCTGCAGACGGGAGTTCGGATCCCAGCACCAGCAGAGGGTGCCTCATAAAGACAGGGAACTCCAGCTCTCGGGGATCTGATGCCTTCTTGTGACCTCTGTGCACCTATGTGTACACACACACACAAACGTGGCTTGGAGGGTGTTCCAGAATTAAGACTATATATTCTTCTGTCAGAGTGCTCGTTTGCGTCCCAACGCCCACATCGGACGACTCAACAACTGCCTGTAACTCTAACTCTAAGGAATCTGGCCATTACAAGCTCTTGCACTTATGTGTACATACCCCCACCCCTGCCACACAAACACACAATTAAAAATAAACCCTTCAAAATTATTTACTTATATTTATTTTAGTGTGTGTGTGTGTGTGTGTGTGTGTGTGTGTTTTCATGCATGCACACGATTGTACCACAGGACGCATGTGACAGTCGGAGGACAACTTACAGGAGTCAGCCTTCTCCTTCCCCCACGCATTCTGGTGATCCAGCTTAGTGTGGTGGCAGAGTTGGAAGCAAACATCGACCTGCCGACTCTCTCACAGGTCTGTCTCTGCATGCTTACAGTAACATTCAACACCTTGCTACAGCCCCAGACTACTCTGCAATTTGCAGTTCATGCAGGGCTCCCACTGCTGCCAGGAGCTAGTCTGGCTTCCAGGCCTTTCTGAGAAGCTAGGAAAGACTCCTTTACCAATCTGAGAGCATGGCATAGCAGGGAGCAGATCTTTAGCCAACTCTGGAAAGTTTCTTTCCTCACCTTGACCCTCAGCCACCGATTTATGCAATCTCCTAAGTGGGTGGAATCTACATGGATTCCTCTGAGCCATGCCTGACTGCTTCATGGGAACCGTCACTTTACCTTCTTAAGTGACAGAACCACAGAGGCGCCTCAGTGGGTGCTAACTACACAACACTGTCCTCTTGGTTGACCCTCTGAGATCACCTGGCTCGGGTAATTTATTCTTCAATTCTCCATGCCACTTAATAACATTTTTTTCCCCTGGGTGTTCACATTAATCCCCTTGTTCTGTGTAATTTGGCATCATAGTTTCACAGCCCATTAGAGTTGGCATTGACCTCATAGGGGAGTGGATGCCAGCCAGCCTGGATCAAGAATTAGCAATGCTCTTTAGCCTTTTTGCGGTTACTTGAGGTGACCTACTCATCAGACACAGGCGAATGGACACACGAGCTCAAACCTGGCATTCTCAGCATCACCCTCACAACCCTCGAGTGCCTATCTGTAACCTGACTCCATGTCAAGGTGTTTAAAGGGATAACAATCTCTGACCTCTATGTGTTTTTCCCAAGCCTTCTTCTGCCAACAGTCACGGTAACCACACAGCACAAAGACCCTGCTGCTATACACGTTTTTAAATTTTAACTTGTAATGATTTGTTCCATGTGCATGAGTGTTTCGCCCACATGTATATCTGTGTACCACATGTGTGCTCAGTGTTGGAGGAGGGCAAGAAAGGGCATCAGATCCCCTGGAACAAATCTGTCACGTGAGTGCTGGAAACTGATATTGGTCTTCAAAGAGCAGCCAGTGCTCTGAATCAATGAACCACTTCGCCAACCCCCACCCCAGGTTTTAGGTGAGAAAATGGAAGGTCAAAAGGGGAAAGAGCATGCAGCCCCAATTCAATGTTTTCCTTTATAAGAGTTGCTGTGGTCATGGTGTCTCTTCACAGCAATAGAAATCCTATCTAAGACACTTTCAATGACAGAAAAGAACCAAGTGCAAAGGCTTCCTGGAGCCAGCTACATTTTCCCTCTCCGAAGCAAGCTTCCAGCACATGTCTCGGTCACCACTTCACTTCCTTTCACTTCAGTACACGATGTCTTCTCCTCTCTTCCCCGCCCATCTTTCAGGGATCCTTCCGCTTTAAACAGGCACCCTTCTCAGAAGCAGCTTTCTTTGTTAACTGACAAAGGTCTCTGGCAAACCCCAGGGGAGGATGGAGACAAGCACATGGACCACACACTCACCTAACGACCAAAGGAAGGGTGCAGGATGTTGGCATAGGCCAAATCCCAGGAATTAAGGGGGTCACTTGATGTCATCTAAGGACACAGAGTAGGAGTTCTGTGGGACAGGATGGAGGATCACCTACTCAGGGTACTTCACATTCTCATTTCAGAACTGTTCCAAGATGGCAGCAGGGCCAGGCTACCTCAGTGTCTCACCAAGCTCTTCTTCATCCTTCATAATAATTCTATTTTATTGGAAACTAGAATGACAATAGCCAGGTCACGCTTGCTGAATGGCTCGCTGGTCATGGTGACACTGTAGGTTAGATCCTCTGGATTACAGTTGGCTACATCTTATTCCACCTGTGCACACTACTCAGAGAGAAGCCCCTCAGAGCATTTGGGTTGTCAGGCTGGTAACGTGCACTGATTGTCCAAGTTAATCTGCACAGCCCTAAGCCAGGAACATCAGTGCACCTGAGAGAAGAATTCATGGTCCTTGCTATCCAAGGGTAGACAATTTAGCTGGAAACTCAACACATCCAGTAAAAGATTTTGAGACCAAGCAAGCACTGGATCCTTACCTATACCCAAAGGTATTGGTAAGGATTACCTATACCCAAAGCTTTGGACACCCCCAAAGCTACTAGGCATGGTTCACTGACCTTTTGAGGAAACTGCATTTGGATGCCCCTACTCTTGGGAGATTACAAAGAAAGTCCCTGCTCTCTAAAGCTTTTGGCTTTTGGCTAACTAGGAGCCACAAGTTCCAAAGGTTGAGGAATTTTGGCTTCTCCTCCTCCTTCTCCTCCTCCTCTTCTTCTCCTTCTTCTTTTCGAGTCAGTATTTCTCTGTGCAACAGCCCTGGCTGTCCTGAAACTTGCTCTGTCGCCCAGACTGGCCTCGAACTCACAGAGATCTACCTGCCTCTGTCTCCCAAGTGCTGGGATTAAAAGCACATGCCACCACCACCTGGCCCTTGGTTGTTCTTTATCGAAAAGAAAACAAAGGTGAGAAAAGAAAAGTTTCAGAGATAAAAGAAAAGAAGGCACAGGGTGGCAATGTCCTTCCTGAGTGGAATTCCCCAGAGTATCCTCCAGGATGGGTGCTCGCTACAGAGAGAAAAGTAGCCTGGGTCTGGTTCTGAAGAGGTTCTAACTATAGCTCACTCCTGCTCCAGTCTACCTAAAGCACCACTGTATTACAGCCCAGCACAGAGAACATGGCAGCTTTAGAGCGAGTAGTGATGCACAGAGGTATTTCCACACCTGAGCACCCTGCACGCAAGCGTTTTCCACTGATGGCACATGCACAAGAGTCACTTAGAGGACAAAGGGCTTCCTCCGAGGCTGGAGAATCCTGGGGAATCTGTGGGGGAAATGGGCTTCTTGGTGTATTACATTCTTCAGTCTGTTCTTCCTGCCTCATGACTGGTGGGCTGCATAAATCTCAGGGCAACCCTGGCTGGGTAGAATCTTTCCACTGGGTTTTAAGGAATAAATATTTCTTTGTGTGACAGTTGGCTTTCCAGACTCTCAGCAATGGTGAGGACCTCTCGGGAGTGGAAGGCCACTTCTGCCGATGGAAGTGCAGGAGGCTGGGAGATAGAGCCTCGGCTGGTGGTTGAGCACAGAAGACTTTGTTGGGCTTTAGATAGCTCAGCACTGGGGATAAATCATTTTTCTACTACTTTATCCATGTAGAAGCTGCCAGCACCCGTGACTAAAGCTGCAATGCCCTGCCTCCGGGAGTCACATCAAGGGGAACTATGGGATGGCAGCATGATCCCTGAGAAGGGCCACTAAGAGCAGGCCAGAAGCCATTGAGGAACTGCAGTCTAGTCAGCACAGGGGTCTTGGGGATCCTTTGTGACACGTGATCTTACGAAATGGGATCTTGAAATACATATGTGTATATATATATATAATATATATATGTATGTATGTAAGTATATATATATATGTGTGTACATATATATGTGTATACACATGCATGCACAAATATTTTACCCAAAGTCAGTTTTTTAGACTTCAGTAATCTAGAAAATTGCTATAATTTTCTCTATATAAATATATATATGAAACACATAAAATTCACATTGCCATAATTCTTTCTTCAAATAAGACACAGCATATGTATTACATACCCACATGTACACATGCACACTCTGAGCTGATCAAAATATCCTGGAATTCTCGGTGACTCATAAGGCATGCCAATGTGACTCCTGGAAAGAAGGGGACGTTTTGATTCTCCCAGAAGCCTTGGGTTCCAGGAGGGCCATGTGTGAAGCATGTTGGCTTAATAATGCCCCGTCTCTGGGAAAGTCACAGCCTTGGCTCAGGGAGTTGACAACAAAGCTCCCGGCCACAGGAAACTCGGAAGTTTCCTCGCAGGGCACCCAATATTCCTGTGAACTAGAGCCAAACAGTTCAGGATTTTTCTGTCAGCACCTCTTCCCTGCTTGTCTGGGTCCAAAGGTTTAGACTGGCAGTTCTTCTGACATTCTGACATTAAAATCGTCTGCAGAATAAAGACAACAATTTCCTCCCATCGAACCAAAGCTATAGATCCAGAAAATGGATGTGAGAGAAAAACAAACAAGTAAATGAAAGGAATAGTATCTAGAATATTCCTGATGTGAAAACTACAGAGGTGAAGCATGGCTGTCCAGCTCAGGCACTCGTAAAAGTCAAGGCTGGAATGGACAAGGTACTGATAGCGCTTCCAGAGCTCTGGTTTACAGTGGGGAAGTAAAGCAGTTACCTTACTGTCATGTTCTCCTGCTGCCACTGCCACTGCCACTGCCTCTCAGGGAATTACTGCCCTGGCCCATGCTGGGAGGGAGCCCTCTCCATGACACAAAGGAGAATACAATGCCATCCTTCCCCATGCCCAGGTTTGTGGCTGGAAAACTTAACTATAGAGACCTGCCTGTGCAGTTCAGGGCATTTTCTCCGCTAATGTTTAAGTATACGGAGCCTCTTCATAAGGCCCAAAGTGTTCCAATAAGAAGCCTAGAAAGGAAAACCGAGTCCAGGGAGCATTGTGCCTGAAGGGGGACATTTGATGACCAGTGGGAGCAATACTACCCATGGCTTGAGCACCTGCTGGATCCTGACCCCATTCTATGAGAGAGGAGCCACTACCAACATTTTACAGGTGAGGAAACTCCAACTGAGAACAGAGAAGACTTCACAAGGTCAGTTAAGTGGCAGTCTGCTATTTAAACACAAGGTTGCTCGGCCTCAAATTCAAGTTTTGTATTTAATAATAGACTATAGAACAAACAAACAAACAAACAAACAAAAAAAGAGAATGTTCACAGTGACTACAGAAGAAATCAGTTTAGAACTATATT